CTTTGGTTGCCATTCCCACTGGTGAGCATGAGAACCAGGATTGGGACAGGCGTAGTTGGACAGAGAGTGGTGCCTGCCAGCACAGGGGTGAGCTGGATAGTGGGGCCTGTTGGCATGAACTAGGCTTCAACACCCACTGACATATTTAAGAGCTGGATGGGATGTGGGATAGATAGAACCAGTCTGTTGTATATACTGGCAGGGATGGGTACCAGTGCAAGAGACAGTATTTGTGGGGTTTATCATGGGTTGCTCCAATAAGGCTTCAGCTCCCACTGTTTTGCCTGAGGGCCGAATGTATGGTGGGCAGGATTGGACTGGGTTCCAGCACCCATTGGGTTGTGAAGACAGGGCTGGAGGCAGAACTGACCCAGCAATTGCAACTACCAGCATATGTATAAACTGATTGGGTGACAGACTGTACCAGATCCTGTATTGGCAAGCACACACATGAATCAGGTTTGGGATCACCTCAGATGAAGTTTCTTTGGTGACCCCTCCAACTGAATCGCTGGAGTCAGAACCCCATCCATGAAGAGAATTGCAGGTTCCATGGTCTCACCATGGAGTGTATGTGTCAGAGCTGGGCCTCCTCAGTGGCTTAGATGGAGCAGTGGACAGCATATCCAAATGTAGATGGAGGATATGGCAGTACATTGGAACCTGTGGAGGACACCTGGTACCATGACAGAGGACAGAACAAATTGATCAACTACCCCAGCTAAGTGTTGGCAATGAGTATCTGGGCAAATGGAGACTCTAAGGTGGAGAATGTCAGCCAGTGGATTCTGGAGAGATTTCATCATGCTTAGAGTGGCAAGATTGGCAGTAATTCAGGACTGTTGAACTATCGAAACCTCTTGAGCAGAACTCTCAGAGCATGTGCCACATCGGGGACTCTGGGATGGTGTCAGGTGGCTGTCGTCCATCCTAGGGCACAGAGGTGTTTGGGAGGCTGGGTGTGATTTCTCTGCTTGTCATCTCCTTCCCCCAGATACAGGAAGAAAAAAAAAAAGGAGAATGTGGAATGGTGAGCTTACCTATTCCTGTAGCCCTTGACCCTTATCACCCTAATCAATTATCATCAAAAATAAATATGATTAATTAAAAAAATTGCTTGGAAGAGTGCTAAAATTTAAAGGACAAAAATGAAGTCTTGTAATAAAATTCAGTGTGTTTTTAGACACTAAAAAAAAGAAAAAGGAACTGTTGCCTAAATTTTTAAGTCAAAATCATTACAATAATGACCAAGTGAAAGCAAGTTTCTCATTTTCCCCAGAATAACAACTTTGATTCTTTGTAACAAATATTTAGGTATATAACTCTGCCCAGAATTCATATTTTGGGTTCCTGTTTTCTCTTTGGAGTCCTAGGCTTATGCTCAGTCTGCCTGGAAAGCCCCACAAGGTTCTCTTCATGACATCTGAGGTGGCAGATCCAGTCACTCCCCTTGCCTCTATCCTTCATTGATTTAATCACTTAAGATTTATTCTGAACAGCATATAAAATACCAAGCAGCTGTTTTTCTCTAGCTGTATATTACCACTGATAAAGCAAATTGAAGAATTAAAATCTAGCTAATACTCAATATTCTTTAAAATTTGCCATTATTGTTTGTACCCTTAGGGTTTTCTTTTATCAAAAGATGATTACAAAATTTATCAACATGAAATTTTCATCCTTTTGAAAGTTTACTGATATGTATGTTTAATATAGTTTTTGTTTCTAGGCCTTTTGTTTTTCTTTAATATTTACTTGAAAGGCAAAATGACAGAGAAATCTTTTATCCCTGGTTCACTCTAAAAATGGATACACCAGCTGCTACTGGGACTTGTCCAGACAAAATCCAGGAGCCAGAAACTCCACCTGCGTCTTCCCCATGGGTGACAGAAGCCCAAGCACCTGGACCACCTTCCTCTGCTTTCCCAAGCACATTACTGGGAGCTGGATGGACACGGAGTTGTGAGCTCTGGCACTGCTATGTGGGATGCCACAAGTGATGGCTTAACTCACTGTGTCACAGCAACAGCCCCTACAGTCTTCCTTTTCAAAAATATATGTAATACCTATCATAAGCAATCATAATACATACACAAACAAATGGGAAATCAAGCCAAAACTTTCAAGAAAGAATAAATCAAAAGAAATGGACAAGAAAACAAATATGCTAATCACAAAACATATATCTATATAACATGTAAGTATACATATATATTTTCTCTCTCTCTATATATATATATATGCACACACACACCCCTAAATGGTAATAGGGTGATGACATTTAGATAGTTGATATTTATTTGATGGCCTCCCTTTATATAAGGCTAGATTTCTGTAATACTTATTTTTCTTAGATGTCTATTTCTTTTTACAAAAATATTTATTTTAAGGCAGAGTTACAAAGAAAGGTTTTCCATTGGTAGGTTCACTTGCTAAATGGCTACAAAAGTCTGGGGATGGATTTGGCAGGAGCCAGGAACCTGTAACATCATCATGTCTCCCAGACACATTAACAGGAAGCTGTGTCAGGAGCAGAGCAACTAGGGCTAAAACTGGAGCTCATGGGGAGTGCTAGCATGAAAGACAATGGTTTAACCTACTGTACCACAGCACAGGCTTGCAGTTATGATCTTTGTATTTCTCTAGAATTGTTGCTTAAGTAAGCTTTTATTTTTTTAAAGACTTATTCATTTTTATTACAAAGTCAGATACACAGAGAGGAGGAGAGACAGAGAGGAAGATCTTCTGTCTGATGATTCACACCCCAAGTGAGCGCAAGGGCTGGTGCTGCGCCAATCCGAAGCCAGGAACCAGGAACCTCCTCCGGGTCTCCCACACGGGTGCAGGGTCCCAAAGCCTTGGGCCGTCCTTGACTGCTTTCCCAGGCCACAAGCAGAGAACACGATGGGAAGTGGGGCTGCCAGGATTAGAACGGGTGCCCATATGGGATCCCAGCGCGTTCAAGGTGAGGACTTCAACTGCTAGCTGCGGCTTAACTTGCAGCACCACAGTGTAGGCCCTAGTTTGTTCTTTTTTTTTTTTTTTTACGTTTATACTTATATTTTTATCTAATACAGAGTTTTTCATATTTTCTTTGGCGATTAGTTCAGAGTCATCTTCTAGCCATTACTGAAATTGAAGAGATTCATCTGGTTCTTAGAGAAGCTAACTTGCTTGATAGTATCTTTGGAGTTCTCTGCACTTAGCATGCTCGCATGCTAAAATACAAACTACGCACACTAGGACTGGGCTTCCTCTCTCTAGAAGTGCACTGTGTCGTAGGGTAGGCACCAGCTTCATGTGATAATTTTTAAGCTTAAATTCATATATATTAAATTAAGATTCAAATCCTCAACAACACATTTCTTTCTTTAAAGAAAAGAGTATTTTTATTTGAAAGGCGGAGTTAATGGAGAAAAGGAGAGAGAAAGAATCCTCCATTTGCTGGCTCACTCCTAAAATGGCCACAATGGCCAGAGCTGGGCTAATCCAAAGCCAGGAGCTTCTTCTGGTCTCGCATGTGGGTGCAAGGGCCCAAGGATTTAAGCCATCCGCCACTGCTTTCCCAGGCCATAAGCAGGGAGCTGGATCCAGAAGTGGAGCAGCCAGGACATGAACCAGTACCTGTATGAGATCCCTGTGCTTTGCAAGGGAAGGATTAGCCAATTGAGCCAACACGCTGGGCTTTTCTTTCCATTTCTTGGTCTAAATAATCTTGCTGTATGACCACATGTATTAATAAAGACCTATGCAGTACACAAAAGGGCTGCTGGGAGAGGACCGCTGTTCTATTGATCTTGAGCACTCCCATCGCACCCAGACAAATGTCTTGAGTTTATCTTTTCAGTACTAACTTTCCACAATAACTCCCTTTAGCAAAATGGAATGTGTTATTTCAGTTTGAAGGCTTTGAGACCATTTCCTAAGCTCAAAAACAGCGTAGTTGATTCAGAAGTCTATAAAGGGTTGGTGATTAGGGGGCAAAGTGGCAGGGTATAGGAGAAGTAAAATGCATTAACCCACCATTGTGTGACTTTGAAAATGTACGAAGAGAGGAGGAAACTTTGACTCATCTGGGTGAGTTTAACACAACCATTTTTACTGTAAGTAGTAAGAGTTGTTGCTGAAGCCAAAGTTTGCCCAAAAATTCAGTAAGAATCATTTTGGAGATAGTTCTTACTGAATTTATTGTTGGAAGTTGCATGTACCACTGAGGAAATACTAAATCTTATTTAACTATAACAATAAGTGACTAAGCCATGCCCACTTTTGAAATGTCACAAAGATCAGAAAAATGTTATTGTTACACCAAACAGTGATACTTATGTAATATTATCTCACACACTTACATTTTGTCAATCACTGAATTTTTTACTCCAAAGTACGCTCTATTATTTTGCTTTTTTTTTTCAAACAGCTTATGGAAAAGTGCCATTTAAAAAGAATCCATGCTTGTTTTTACTTCATAGTATCCGTTTTTCCATGAACTTTTTGAAAACTCCTCATATGCATAGACTTCAAATATCTGGCACATAAAAAACGTATTTTTTTATTCCACTTTCCACAAACATTTCAAGGTGGTTTCCTATAGTTCTGTCGTGCAGGGCATGTATGTCCGTTGGTCACCAGTTTTAGAAGCTATTTCTATGGCTTTGTTATCACACATTGCTGAACAAGAAAAGCTTAAAGAGCTCTAATGAGTAGAAGATGTGATTGCTTCCATGTGTATTTTTAATAGTGTTGCCCCACTGATGATCTATTTTGATTCCCATACTCCATATCCGTGACAGTGTTATTATGATTATCACAGCTTGAAACACACCCGCACATACACACACAATCACCCCCGAAGCGACCAGTCTGTCTTGGGGCAGGGGCAGACGCCTGATTGGCAGACTCTGTTTATTCTGTGACCAGATTCCTTCTAAAAGAAGGCAGGCGGTGACTGCCTGAAGCCTATTGGCCAGGCGTACTCTAGACCCGCCTCCACCCTTTTTTTTTTTTTTTTTTTATTGCACGCACCACAGCGAAGTCTGTGCGGAATCCTAAACCAGCCAATTTACATCCATTCATGAATCTGTGACGTCAGCAAGCCTGTGGGCTCCTTTGCAGTGGGCTGGAGGATTGTGTAGCTGGAATCCCCCTCGCCCTTATTTTTGCAATTTTGCAAGGCTTTTAAAATTAGCCTTCTACCTTTCTAAAGCAAGAAAACGGGACAGCATGTGTAGGAATCCTTCGTTGTGAGTATTGCATTCTATTTCTGTGTTTGATCGGCATTTGTTTTTACAAGGGCAGTATTTGTGATTTGAAGTGATTAGAAAACTGGTATTATTATGGGGGACACAGCGGCGAGAGAGAGGGCAGAGACCGAGAGAAACCTGAAACCCCGTTACAGCTCAGAGCCTCTGAAACTGACAGCTGGTTTTCCTTCGCTTGTCTGCTTGCTGAGACGTGGACATTTTTCATTTACGCTTCTGCACGTTACCTCTGGATGCTGGCGTGCGTTTCCTTAAAGGGAGATGCGCCTCTTGGAAAGGTGATGCGGGTGGCGTTAGAGGAAAACCCGGAACACTAGGACGGTGCTGGGGGAAGCCAAGCCGGCAGGGCGAAGCAGGTTCCACGCTGCTGAACCCTAGCCTGCCCTGCTGCTGTCCTTGGTCGTTTCTCACCCTTCACCTTGCCTTTGTTTCATAACTGTGTGATGATCAACATCTTGTGATGGCCATTTGGACTGGATGAATACACCAATTCAACCAATTTTCAGAGGTGCTTATGATGGGAGTGGTAATGGCATATATATCTTTGACTCCTAGGTCACTGCATACATTTTACTTACATGATGAAAAACCTGAAAGTCTGCAATAGATGCAGAAGGGGAATTGCCCTTAAATCCTAAGTTTCTCACATAACTAATGAAAACTAAGCAGTGATTTCTGAAGAAAATCTGTAATTACATTGTGTAGACATACATGTGACTATCTTTATACGTTAGACTTCCAACTGGAAATAGTTTCCACTTCTGTGTTTGGGGAAACCTGAAAAAAGTTCTGATATGTCCCAGGTATGACAGTTAACTTGATGGTTGACTTGTAAGTCTAGCATGAGGTTAACATTTGTGATTAAATTTGTTTCCTTTGATTTATTCTGCTGTCGGTTGTGATGGAAAAGAAGAGAGATGTGACATGATGACATTTTTTTTTTTTTTTGCCCCTGGGGCAGCTCCTAACCCCAAATAATCCATGTGTTTTCCAACTGCCTCAGGTTGAGTAATTTGTGTCTTAGTTTGTGGCTTGCAGTTGGGGGGGGGGGGGTGGAGATGGGAAAGAGTACAAAATGCCTGCTAGTTCTACCATCCGGTCTTGTCATGTTTACCTTGCATAATCAATACTTAGGTTGGAGATTTCTGTATTTTAATCTTTCCCTGTGAAGCAAAATATCTAAATTATGACTTTAATGAAATCTCAAATAATTTTTCTTAATGAAACTTTCAACTGTAAACTTAGTTTCAAAGTGATCACTCCTGAGGATGTAACTTTTCCTTTGTTTCTCATCGCTGCAAAGTCCCCACTCACTGGCATTGTCAGTCCACGCTGAGCTCTGGATCTGCTGAAGGGTGAACCTAAGGCTGAGTTGCATCTTCGTCCTATGCTCAGACAATTGCAGTTTCCAGTTTTTTACCATTTTCTGTTTGTTGGTTTGGTAAATAAGATAAAATTTTAGACTCTCTTCTTGATTTATTTCAGCATTTTCCTCTTGTGTGTGTACCATAAGATACTTCATTATAATCAGCAATCTGAAAGTTATCTTAAATGATTAAAATTTACCAAATCAAAAGGCCAAAATTTTAGAATATGTTTTAAAAATCAATTCATCTTAGGACAAGCACATCAGATTATTTTGTGTACGTATTTTGTCCAAAGAGAGCTGTGATTCCATGAAAGAGATATAGTCTTTACTTTGGATTTATTAAAATAAAACTGTCACTTTAACATGGACAATGAATTTAGAATCTCCCTGTCTTTTCACTCCCAGTGGCTCTATTCTAGATTATATTGATTTTCATGTATAGTGTACTTGTAGGAAAAAAACAATAACTCTTAATTGTGTAATATCAAACAATAAAATCCTGTGTATCAGAGACTCTCAATAGATGGCTTTCTGTTTAAAAATTGAAGCTCCTCCAAAATAGGAATTAATGTATTTAGTAAACAAAGTCTGTCAAACCAGAACTGTGTCCTGTCCTAGGGAACTGGCAAAAGAATAGTTGCTAAGGGGCAGAGGCCACATCCACTGGTATAAGACAGAACCACCAGACTTTGGATGGCAGAAAGAACCAGTCAGTTTGGTTTGTCCCATTTACTTATCTTCTTTTTGAATGCTACAATTGAATTAATGGCTCAGGGGAATCAGATGAATCAAGATGGCCAAGATGGCCAACTCTGCCAGGTGGCGGCCTAATTCTTACAATTTTGATTAACATAAAGAATATTGTCCAAGAATACTCTGCTGCTAAAAAAAACCTTCACAAGTCATCACATTCTTGTTCTGATCATTATTCTGTAAAAGCAAAGGGGAGCCAAAGAGAAGATGTAATTTTTAATCCTAATGAATCTAAAGATAAGTTATAAAAATATATTATATTTTTTATTGTTATTATTTTCCGTAATACAGTTTTATAGGTATAGGGATTCTTTCCTCTCTCTTCTTTTCCCCTTTTATTTTCTCATTCCACCATTTTCCTTCATATTATTACAGTAGTATAATCGTTTAGTAACAGTTACAAGTTTAGCATTCACATGGAAGAACAGGCTCTTAGCACACCCCTCTCTTCCCCCAGAGCTGGACCCTCTGCAAAGGCGGCTCCCCACCCACTCCCTATCACTAGCCCTCCTTGACCGTGTCCCCTAGAGGGGACATGAAAAAGAAAAAAAAAACAAAAACAAGTTTAGCATTCTGCTATTTAAGTGGCATTGTAGGTATAGGGAAATGTAGACAATTTAATATAATACTGTCAAGATATATTTAATTGATTCATTGAGAGTCCTGTGTTTATTTTGGAGTACAAATGGCTACTACAGTGTATCTTTACTTCCCGATGTGCTAGTTTCCATTATACAGTTCCCCTGTGAGAATATAAGTATAAACTTGTTTACCTGGGCATATATTTGCCTTGTATTCTGCATGAAGGTTATCTTATGTCAGAGAGAACATGTAATATTTGTCTTTTTCAGACTGGCTTATTTAACTAAGCATAATGGTCTCCAGCTGGGACCATTTTGTTGCAAATGATAGGATTTCCCCTAATGTCTGTTGGTATTCCATGGAATAGATGTACCACAGTTTCTTTATCCATTTATTTTGGCAGGCATCTGGGTTGTTCCCATGTCTTTGCCATTGTGGATTGCACTACTATAAATATAGGCTGCAGATCATTTTCCCAAATATTAATTTGGATATATCCCCAGGAGTGGGATAGCTGGGTCGTATGGTTGATAGATTTAAAGTTGTCTGCGCACTCTGCATACTGACTTTGATAGCTGCTGCACTAGTCCGCACTTCTATCAGCAGTGGGATGGGGTACTTTTCCCCCACGACCTTGCCACCAGTTGTTGTTAATGATTTCTGTAAAAAAAAAAAAAAAGAAGATTTCAATGTTAGGATTAGCTATGAAACACAAACCTTCCTTTTCTTCCTTTTTTATTATTCAGTTCTTTTTAATATGTTGATGGAATTATGTAATTATATCATAGTAAAGTTTAAAAACATTTCCATCACCACATTAAGAAACTTTATACTTTTGGCAGTCATTCACTCTTTTTTTTTTTAAAGATTTTATTTTTATTTATTGGAAAGTCAGATATACAGAAAAAAGGAGAGACAGGAGGAAGATCTTTCGCCCATTGATTCACTCTCCAAGCAGCCACAACAGCTAGAGCTGTGCTGATCCGAAGCCAGGAACCAGGAGCCTCTTCCGGGTCTCTCATGTGGGTGCAGGGTCCCAAGGCTTTGGACCGTCCTTGCTGGCAGTCACTATTTCTCCCTACCTCCCAAGGTCTAGACAACCATTATGCTACTTTATCTATATATATATATACATTTGGCTACTCTTGACATCTCATATATAGAGACTCATAAAATATATCATTATTTTTTTAAAGATTTATTTATTGGGCCTGGTGGTGTGGCCTAGCAGCTAAAGTCCTCACCTTGAATGCGCTGGTCCCATATGGGCACCCGTTCTAATCCCAGCAGCTCCACTTCCCATCCAGCTCCCTGCTCGTGGCCTGGGAAAGCAGTGGAGGACGGCCCAAACCCTTGATCCCTGCATCTGCGTGCAAGACCTGGAGGAAGTTCCTGGCTCCTGGCTTTGGATCAGCACAGCTCCGGCCATTGTGGCCATTTGGGGATTGAATCATTGGACGGAAGATCTTCCTCTCTGTCTCTCCTCCTCTCTGTACATCTGTATGTCTGCCTTTGTTATGGAAATAAATAAGTGACCACAACGGCCAGTGCTGTGCCTACCCACAGCCAGGAGCCAGGAGCCTCTTCTGGTTCTCCCACATGGGTGCAGGGTCCCAAGGCTTTGGGCTGTCTTCTAACACTTTCCCAGGCCACAGGCAGGGAGCTGGAAAGGAAGTAGGGCTGCCCATGTGGGATCCCAGTATGTGCAAGGCAAGGACTTTAGCTGCTGGGCTACTGCACTGGGCATTTTTTTTTTCTTTTGAATTTGGAATATTACTTGCATTGAAGTGGATGAAATGAATACGATTTTATGTACTTGATATAATGATACGATTCCGAAAGAGCTGGGCTGAGATTATAAGGGCCTGTGTAATAGTCTCAGGTCATCCCTGCAAGGCACTTGCCTCTATAAACTTTTTTCAAATGTCTCCTCAGGTTTTGTTTTAGTAAGTGAGATGAAGAGATTGTTTTTAGTGAGCTGAGGTGTCTCTACTAACTAACATGGCAGGATTGCTGGCATCTGGTTATTACTTACCAATAACAAATGGGCAAGTAGTGAATTCTAAGGCAATGTGATTTCACAATATTTTTCCAGAACTTTTAACTCCCTTTGGGGATGCTGCTATTGCTGAGAAGTAAGAGCATTCCAAAAGTATTTCAGATGAGATCTGGGTGAGACATCAAAAGGCTAACTCCCTTTCAGATGCTCCCTTTAATAAGCAGGAAGGAGAGTTCTGGTCAGATAAGACGTTGCTGTCTTAGTGCCTGTCCTTGCCAT